GATTTTTCTCATTGAACAAATACGGCTGAACTGATATATTCCTCTTATGATTTTCTCTGCTTTTTTGTTACACAAACATTAGTGAGCTGGTAATTCCAGGTTTTGTATATCCTCCGATTTTGTACAAGTGAATAAGCTTAAAAAAATATCGGTTCCTATTAACAAACCAGGCCTTATGTTGTATTTGCTTATGAATTTCTTGATGCAAGTATTGAAAACTGGTTTTGAATTGACTTATAGTTATGGTGCAGGGAAGCAATTTGTTTTCTCTTAATCCTGTGATGGAACTGATTGAGTTTTGTTCATAAGGCAGCTAGTACGTTATCTTGTGATATGTTGAAGCTTGGCATGAATACACGGGGGATGAAGTTTCTAGAAGAGAGTGGGTTTTCATGTGAACTGACTTGGTTGTACAGGACATCCGATTTATTATGCAACTCAAGGTTTGATGACAGTGGCGATGCACCTCTTGGAACTATGGAAGCTTGGAGCAAAGATAATTGCAAGCATGAAGACAACTTTCACATGTTATTTAAACATTGCATTACTATTTATAATAGCCTTTAGAATGTATTTTGGGTACAACTTGTAATAGACTTTGAATGTGGTAATTCGTAATAAGATCCTCTTGAATGTTTAGTCTTTCTTTTGAATGAAATGTGTAATGAACATGAGTTTTTGACAATGATGAACTTTGCCCTTTTTTTTGGCGAATGAACAAAGAGGAATTTGACTTAAGCTTGACATGTCGGGTGATGAATTTTATGGACAGAGTTTAAATGACAAAGTCTTGAAATTTATACTTTAAAGGGATTATGGTAAAAAATGCTTGAAGACACGAAAGCATCAAATTTTCTTGTAAGGTATTGTTACACTTGAACGAAATTGAATGGAATTGGATAGCATTTTCTTGAATCATGAATTAAAGGGTTTGAATGAACTTTGAACACATGTGAATTTGAATCTGGAATGACGATGAACATCTTTATAATGCGGATGAACTTCGACTTGAAACAAGACCTTGCGGTCTGTACCTTACCTTCCAAGAAACTCACATGACCAATACTTAAGGCTCTTTGCCAACTTTGATCCAATCAACCACTTTCGAACATCTTGAATTCAAATCAAACTTCAAATCCAAATCACACTTGCATTCTCAATGAACTCCTAACTTCAATCTTGAATCCAAATCAACTTGTATGATAACTAATTTGAATAGACAATAAGATCTTGATCCTAAAAAAATTCACAACCTTGCCTTTTGTATCATGCCTCATATTCCACGATTCAAATCTACAAGTCTCTTATCTTGACAAAGTCCTTCCCTAATTGACGACCTTAAATCATCAAAGATGGACATAAATGATAATGAAAGAATATGATCAATATTAACATGAAACCTTATTTCCCCTAATCTTCAATTACTTGGACATTTATCAACGAATAGAAACCCTGATTTTTAATGAAATTTTCCTTTTCTGAACCAATATTTCTTTTCTTTTTCCATACCATTCTTCAAATGCAACTTGAATGCCTAACACATATTAGATGAAAGTTCAAGGGAGACCTTGGTCCAAAAGTTAATTGTTCAAAGCTTACTTTAACCGAAGTCAAAAGATCTTATCCACGTATCTTGAACTTGGTCCATGATTATGCATCTCAAGGTCTCATAAGAGCTTGTAAGCCCATCAACCAGGTATGCCATGTTGAATAAAACCCAGCCTTGAATGCCTTGAACCTTGAATTACTTTGCATGAATTCTTCCATGAGAAGCCCACTTCAATCTAAATCTACTCGCATTGCAGATAACAAATGACAATGATAAGGAAAATAATTGCCTTGGTTAAGAAGAAGTCCACAAATTCATATCTTAGGTCATGAACCACGCTTCACAATTCGATCCCTAGCCCTTAGCGATCGGTTATTTCAACTCGAAATTAGTGTTATGAGGAACATCTTACAGATGGATGATAAAGTCTGAATCACAAAAGAATTCCCTTGACGTGAAACCCTAGTCGCGCAAATGAAAACCCCAGCACTTGCCAAGACTGGATAAAAACAAATATATCTTGAAGAGAAATAAATCTTGTTAACCACACCTCACAATTTTGATTCCTCGGTTTAGATGCACAGAGAAATATCCGGATGAAACATCTTTGAACCACGATTTGACAAAACCTAAATTGATTAACTGAAGAGTGGATGAATGCCATGTCATAGTCATTAATCCTAATAAAATGATAAGCATACTTATATAAAGAGACGCCGTGATTCGAAGGCTATATACGCTAGGTCACGCCCTGGAGTTCTTGACCAGAATGACCTACAACAAGTGGTTCATCAGAAGATATTAGCCTTGTAACTTGGTGGAGAAGAAGTCCAAAAATGAGCATGCTCAAAAACCCTAGTTCCACTGTCTTATACACAAGGACGACCCTGGATACTCAAACTTATTCAACACATACACCTCAAATCAGCTGTAAACCCTAGCTCCCTAATTGCTGGTCTTTTGAACCTCAGACGATCTATTTTATGAAAATGCGTGCTATGCACATGACCCATTGGAATGATGCATATGAATGCAAAGTCCAAGCCAGCATAAAAATGCAATTAGGAGGGAAAATTTTGGGGTGCAACAGTAGGTTAGTGTTATGGTGGATGAAATTGATGAAGTTGTGTTGGTTGTGCTTCTGTTGAAAAAATGGATCCCCTCTTTGTTCACGTTATAATCATATATATAGTGTGGCATGTAGTGTTTCTTGATTTTTTAAATGGTCAAAATACCATTTTCTTATTTATTTGATGAAAATATAAACTAAAAAATAAATTACATTTAAATGACATTTTTGTTTTAATTTTTCTTGACTAAAAAAGGAGATCAGAAATAACCAAAAACAATTAAAATCAGAAGCTTTTTCAAGTCAAACAAATAAAAATAATGCATCAAAGTAATCATCATGTTACAAAGTTTATTAAAAAAAGATTATGAATGATTAAAATCGCATTCCAGTTAAACGAATTTTAACGAGTAAAAAAGTGACCGCAAATGGCGTCAAAAAATAAATCGAGAACACCAACATGATCTACACGTAATATAGATTCATAAAACAATCAGTTAAAGATCAAAACTCAAAATATTTCGTCCATTAATTTTTGCACTGTGTCGAATTGCTTTTGCCGAATTGCCTATAAAACCAAAAATTTATTCTTATTGGATTTTAATCATCTTTGCACAATGAATGAGACGGTACACAAGAAAATAAAAATGCATGAAGCGATATTTCATGTATTTTTTATCTTGAAATGATGCAAATGTTGATTTAAGTTGACTTTGAATTTCTATTTTTTTTTAATTGTGATCAATTTAGAAAGCATTTGAGCATTTAGATTCATCTAAGCTTGTTGGATATTTGATAAACTTTCATCATTTATAATCTATCTTTAGACGATCCTTGTATCATTCAAAGTACTTGAGATTAATAAAAAATTTGTCGTAATGTATCTTTCTTAATTTTGTCTTGTTCTCCATATTTATTAATTGTACTATATTTATAAGAACGTAAACTTCAAAGTGTCATTGTTCGTGCAGTAAGGAAGAACATGCGATCTCTGCTAATTTTTTTAGAGATGGAGTTTCAAACCCAAGTAATAATAACAAAATCATTTTTCTCCCAAAAAGAAAACAATAGGAGTAGTTATCGAGAAAGATTGCCTTCAAGATGATCAAACATATCAATCTTTCGGCATCTGACAGGTCAATTGAGACCATTGGAAATAATTTTTTACCATTGAGCCGATAATCTTTTTTAATGACAAAATTCTTAGCATTGAACGGAGTGGCTGGAGATTTTCGAGGCAATGGATCAGAGATGTATAGTGATCGACAACAACTTTTTCCGTTAGATGAACGAGAGTGAAGGATACACTAAACTAATAACGGATCTGTAATCAAAAAATATCAAAAATGAAATATGCTAGAATTTGATTTTGACCAAACAAACAAAACGAGTAGAATTGGACGAACAAACTAACGGTCGGATCGTCGAAAATGAAGATGCGAACAACATCACGTGGTGCACACTCGCATGCTATGGCACTGAGAGCGGGGCTCGCGTGTTTAATGGACCTCAAAAACTAATATTATAAATTGTGGTATGCAACTTAATATTTGGGTCATATGACAGTCTAATATTTAAAACAGACAGAGTTTAAGAAATAAGGTTGCCTTTGTTGCCCTTGTTAGGCAAAAATGAAGCTTATGTAGCAGTGATCACTAACTTGATGTGGTTAAGCGTATGACGCGCTCCATTCAACGCATAAGCAAAAGGTTAATATGTATTAGAATTAAATTGAGAAGTATGGAATTTGAGATTTTTTCAATGCATCCAATCACAATCATCATTGATCTATGATCTGATTAATAGACTCTAATGTCATATTAAAATTAAAATTTGATTTACCTCATCTAATTAATAGACTCTAATATCATATTAAAATTAAAATTTGATTTAACTGGACAAAATCGAGCATCACTTTATATAAAATTGTTAGACTCTAAGTCTAACCAAATGATACTCAAAATTAATAATAAACATATCTGGAGAGAAAAAACACTTGTATTTCGCTAAGGCAATTTTGCAATTTGCATGGACTCGGAACAAAATATATACATCCGGAGCCAATTTTGCACCTTTTCACAAACTTCATTTATTTATGATAATTTTTAACAAGACAGTTATAGATATAGTTTACAGAATGATGAGTATGATATATACATACAATACAGTAAGCCAGAAACATTATAAAGAGGGTGTAAGAGTAGAGAGTTTAGTCATGGTTCCTCCCTCCACCCCGCAAAGCACCTACTAAATTAACTATATTCTGAGTTTTTAAAAAAAGTTTGTAAACTTTTTTACCAACACAAGTTAAATTAGAATTCTTTCAGTAATAATTTAGGCACTCAGACCCCCTCCATAAGTTGTGTCAGCTCTCAAAGCCAATTAGATAATTTTTCTCAACATCTCCAATATGGCTTCAGAATCTCTAATTTCATCCTGGCTTTCTTGTGAATCATCAAACCCTTGTGAAAAGTCAGCATTGGTGTAAGTTCTAATTCCAGGGCCATGTCCTCCGGCATCCCTTTCCCTTCCTTGCTGAGCTCGCCTGACTTCCCTTTGATGCTCAGTCAGTTCCAACCTCTTCTTTTTAAAACTTAAAGGAGGTGCTTCTTTTTGTGTATCAGACAATAATTCCACCCTCTTAGAAGTCTTGTTCTGTTTTGCAGTCACTTTGTATCCCTGCAGAGTGTCGCTTATTTCTTCACGAGTATGGCGTTTTTGAAAAGATGATAAGCTTCTATTCTGAAGTTTCAATTTTCCATGTCTTGATAGCTTGTCCAAGACATGAAGCAGGCAAGGGGGGAAATCAAAAATAATTTGGTGAGCAAATGTAGAATTCCAAAATTCTATGGTGACCTCTGAAATGGAGGGATATGGGTGATCAAGAGTTTTTTCAAATAGAGGTTCGTGAAGTTCAAGTAAAGCCGAACCAAAGTGTATTGGAGGTTGGCTTCTTCTTAAGGAGCTAAGAATTTCAGTCCACAGAAGTTTTAGATTATCATTCGTTTTTTCATCTTGCATTCCTGTATTTGATAGCCATTGAAGTAGTGGAGAGGAAATAATCTGCAATCAAGTATGCAGAAAATCAGATACTAGTTTAACAGAACAAAACTTTTTAAGTACTGAAGGTTTTCTGCAAAATTAAAACCTATACAATACAATGAAACCCAACTGAAATAAATACGATCTACTATCATTCTGATAATCAACAACCCATTGAATGTTATTTATTTATTAAAAAAAACATATAAGCCATCAGCCACTAGAACTGTGAAGTAGAAATACTTTAATTAATGACATAAAGGCAAACCTCAACTAACTGCAAAGTAGATATGATATGGGGAAACAAACCTCCAGAAAAAGAAGAATATTTTGCTTCCGGTGAAGGGAATTAATAAAGGATGCCAATGCAGAAGATAGCCTGTGATTTACGATAAAGTGAGAGTCAAAAAGAGTTACTCATTGACTAACCAAGCATGGATTGTGAAGAAAACAAATTATATTGACTGACCTTGAAGTTCCAACAAACCCAGGAAGTGGATTTGTCACCATCTTTATCCTCAACAAATTCATATACCTGAAAAATGCCATGTAAAAATGAACAGCAGCGATTTGAATAAACCCAATTTTCTTTGGTTATGAAAATAATTGATGCACCGAAGATTGGTTGGTTTAAAATCATTTTTTATATTCATATCAACTAAGTAAAGTAGCAAAAACCGCATCATGTAGTCAATTACCTGTCCAAGTTTTGAAAATAATCTTATCAAGTATCATTATTCTAATAACTTAGCACCAAAAACTAAAAAGGAACCAACACCATATAATGATTAAATACAAAAGGAAAAACAAAACAAGTGCATTGAAATTTAAATGGCAATGAAATTACTTTTTACATCCCCAACTCAACGTAAGTAGGATGATGAATTTTTCACTGTTAGGCTATTGAAAAAACTGACTCATGTTGAAGAGGGGACTTCTACCATTCAACTTTATTTCATACCAGAGTGAAAATTAGTCTGTCTCACAGTCAGAGAAAGACAGACAGAGATCATGTATCAAACAAAGGAATGTCCTATCCTAACAAGACATTAGAAACTTACTTGGAAGCAAAGGTTAGGCAGTTCTTTATTCTGTTGAGTATTTTGCTATCACATTCAGATTTACTTCTGTTGGTTTCTGAAACTAATTCCAAAGTCTGAATCTGTTCAAGAATGCATGTCAAAAAATTGCCAGATAGATGAAGGATATTAAGATCTATATCACTGCATGTTAACTTGAAATCAGTGCCACTCTCTAACATGCCAATACTTTCATCAAGCCACCTATTTATCAATTTGCACAGATCCCCTGAGAAATTGGTGAATGTTGAACATCCAAAGCATGCACTAAGTGATTCATTAAGTGATTTCCATGTTTGAATAACAAGTTCAAGCCTCGGACTTGTTTCTGGTGATACAGAGCATTTTTCTATAGAGCCACTAGCATTTGACGAGGTCAATCTTGGAACTTCAGAATGCGCCACAATGGGGAAAACTAAAAGGTGGCATATGGAAGAATATCCAACGCTGTCGGACAAGGATTCCTTTAGTGACATGCAGGTTGCATCAGAGACGCGGTAATTCAGACCTTGAGCCATTGCTATCCATATATTTAAGTAAATTGGTTCAACATGTTTGTACAAGAGGCCAATACAGGTGAGGAGATTATCCAAGGGATCACTTGAAGAAAAAATTAATTTAAAATATTCAGACATCCCTTGTGAAATGCGGTCTGATTGCTGGGACTTAAATGTTAACTGAACCATCGTGTGGAAGTAAAGCACTACTAAATAAACCAATGGAGAAACCTTGTCCATATAAGAAACACAGTTGACAGTCAGAAACTTTAGGTGTTTGTTATGGTCAACTGATTGTGTGTCATTCATGTACTTTAGGTCTAAAGAAAACTTGTACAGAGGAGATCCCAAGATAGAAGGACCTAACTCTTTTGTGATAGCTTCTATAAACTGAATGGAAGTATAATACAAATCATAATTTTCACTACCATCTGAGGACAAATCTTCACATACTTTTTTCACAAATGTCAGTAATGTGTCCAAACACCCTATCATACCATCATAATTGGTAGATGGACTTTCCAAGTCCAGTTTGACTCCTTTCAGAATATATATAAATAACTTTAATGCAGCATCATAAACATGATTTCTATGATCACAAGTGACCGCTGTCACTGAAGCTTGACGAATGAGAACAAAAATCATACTCAGATAAAAGTCCAATCGACTGAGATCCCATGGCTGCCACCTAACTGGGTGTTGCTTCCAAGAGCTTTTGCCAGATGAAGAAAGTCCGGTTTCTATGCAGTTTAGCTCCCTGCACTTCTGTGAAACACTATCACTGAGCAGCTCAAGGCCCAGGTTCCATAACCAGATTGTCTTGCTATCAGGTCCATTCTGAAATATTGTTTTAAGAATAGGCTCTAAAACCATTTTTATCAATGAGGGTTCGTTGACAGATGCATCAAGCTTATGTAGCAAATAACACCATGTGTTCAGGCAGGATGAATGAACTGATATGTCACATTTACTTGACATGATGCCAATCAGTGGAGTCATTATAAGCTTTATGCTTTTGTAAATCCCATTTACATGATCCTTACCATCGTTCTTACCAAATGAATCCTTAGCTTGTTCCGAAACCAATATGGGATGGTCAATGAGGGCATCAATAAGACCTTCCCAGGCAACCTGCACATAGGACAATTGACAAGTCACACAAGCAGAAATCAGTAAACAGTGCTAACAATCAGTGGGTGCTCAAATTTTTAATGTTTCACTTTGCTTGTTAAAAAAATAAAAAGACTAGTGAGTTCTCTATGCATTGGTCTTCGAATGTAAATCAAGGTTTGTTAAGCTATGTCTGTCACTTAAAACCGGAATAGAATTACATACCACACATAACTCACCACAATGAATCATAGATGAGATAATGCAGTAACTGGTATATGGTACCTGTGTGGCAATTTGAACTTGAGGGTCAGGATCTGTAAATGTACGCTGAGGAATTTTCAACATATCATTAACTAAATGCTTATTCTTCAAAGCATGGGACCCAAGCATTCGAATAAACCACCCCCATGATTGAATAGCTTGAATCTTCATACCGTTATCTAGCAAGTCCTTCATCCCATTGAGCAATTTTATCTTCATATCTTTAACAAGAACCTGTTAAAAATGGAGACCAGTGAATACATGTTTAAACCATCAAAAGAACTTTACAGATAATCATGAAATGCCATGGCCATTGGCCATAATATAGTTTATTTTGTTTTCCAATTTGCAATACCCAATAAAAAAGTTTTTTAGATAATTATCTACCACAGAAAAATTGCAGGCAGCAGGGGTTAACTTCGAATCATTTGCACAAACATATAAACACTAAACAACAACAATCTAGCAGCAATATAACACTACATTTGCCATTCCAAAAAAAAACAGCAGCTTAAATAGCTATAGTAAAATCCCTTCATGCCACTGAGAGTACAGAGCCATGTCTTGATATTGAAGGTATTTGGTACCTTGGAGAGCTCCAATGAAGGAGGAATAACCATGGAGCTGATCTTCAACAGGCACCTTTCTGATGAATCTTTCTCCCTTTTGTCTGTGCTGAGAAGTCTCCTGTATACTGGAGGAGCCCATATATGTGATGAGTCTCTCATTTGCTCACTAATTTGACCCGATAGTTTCATTATAGCCTGGCATCAAAAGGTTGAACACATTTAGTTAGTTAGTAGTTGGAAAAAAAGTGTTGGTATGCAGTTGACATTGTGGATGAAGAGAATAAATAATTGTGATATTGGTTCTAGTAGTAATAATTTTTAAGACTAAAAGAATGTCAATATAAAAGGGAAAAAGAATAGAAGATGAGTATTTAAAAATTTATGAATTCGAATCTCCATTTTATGGGTCATAGGGTGTACACACGATTTAGATTATAAGCAAAGCTATTGGAGAACTAGTAATTAATGAGGGCCGTGCTTAAGCTTTAACTTTATTTCAATTTGAGGGTTAGCTCTGATTTTCCAACTTCTAGTATCAAAATGTTGATTTCCTGACATGCCAATTAACTTGGTAAGAAAGTAAATTAAAAAAGCCCCCCCCAGAAATTCACTAAACCATTAAAAATTACTAGAAAGTTAAAGTTTCTCTTCTGTTTAAAAAAAGTGTATGGACTCATGGAAGAACAAACACTTTCTTAGTGAACACAAGTACCTGTGTAGCTTCAAATGTAGTTGACAAAGAACCCATTGGATTGTCTAGGGCATGCACAATCGCATATATCAAAGAACGGAAGTGAGTGACAAGAAATGAAGCACCTAACTGTTGGACAGATAAGCACCAAACCCCTAAATTACAAACAGTCTACAAAAAAAGTAGAGATAGTTAATATACAACATACTATCACACAACAAAAACCCAATAAATCTATAAAAAAAAAATCTAACAACCTTCAATTTGGTGGTCGTAATAAGTTTCGACAACGAATCCAAGACCAAATTAACACCATCCACTACAAAACAATATAGAAAATCAGAATTGCCTAAAATCAAAGCAAATCGCAACTTCACAAGTCATGAATTAGAGAGAAACCAGTACCTTGAAGCGTGGAAGCAATGTCAGGATGGTAAATCATGAACCCTAAACATTTCAAGGCTTGTGCAGCTCTAATAAACAAAAAATAAACAAAATTATACAAACACGCTAATTTCACATGAGAATAAGAAAATAGTGCAATTGGATACTCACATTTCTTCGTCGGGGTTTGAAATATCGGAAACAGTAGAGGAAACTGTAGAATTGGAGGATTGTGCAAGGGATTGAAGCGAAGAAGGATTGAGGCAAGAATGTTGCTGGAATTGAAGAAGTGTTGAGTAGCCTGAAGATTTGTTGGAGTTGTCATTGGAAGAAATTAGGGTTTGGATTTGAAGAAACTCTTGAGACATTGTTTTGTTGCAGAGATGAAACCCTAAAAGTGATGACTGCTGAATAAGCGACGACCTGAAAGATACGAAATGGAACTAATTTTTCGCGCCAAAACAGTTTGATGCGAGCGCCAATTTTTTTATTTTGGGGTTATAAATAGTTTTGTGTTCCTTATAAAGTTTTAGACTTTTTATTGAATTTAATCCTTTATTTATCATTTATCATGAGTTTTATATTTGTTTAAATGATAAATAATAATTTGTTTCACTAAAATGATGTGTTCTATATTTTAAAAAATGCAACATATATTTGTTAGCATAAATTAATTTTACTTTTAACTTTCAATCAAAATTTAATAATTTGTAATTATTTTTAAATGGTGATAAAAAACATATTTTTGTAGTAATAAATAGTAATATAATTTTGACTCGTCAAAAATACAACATAAATTTGAATTGAATGTTAGTATAAAAATAGTTTTATATCAACGATGCATTTCCTTTTAATTTGATTTTATTCTTATTTTAAATTATTTGTTATAAATAGTTACGAGGGATCACATACATTGGTGTTATGGTCTTTAAATTTGGTGTTGTAAACTACGTTCATCTTTTGAGTGTTTTTTTTAAATAAATATACAAATGAAAGACATTTTGATGGCAAAGTAAGGAAGAGTATAAGCAAAGTTTATTTGAGACGTGATGTGAATCATATTTGGAGGAATAGTCAAATATGAACTCGTGTACACTCTTCATTTTTCATTATTGTTATTATTCATTATTGCTATTACTCGTCTTGTGGTTGTTGTAGTAGCTGGAGTATAATTTAAGCTCTGATGTACCTGATAGATAGCTAAAATAGATAGAGGTGTGCTTTTGAGTCAAAGTCATTTCTCGATTGGCATTTCAAAATTATTGTTGTTCGCAAGGCCCAATACGGAGAGGCCTGGTGTTATAGAAAAAGCATTCAAGCACACATAAATGGTACACCTCTTCCTCCCTGAAGATAGACTATTTCATCCAAGAGAGCCTTACTGATTGTCATTATCCATTTGACGACTAACAGCGATCTATGCCTCGGTTCATACTTTCAACTGTCAACTGCTTATTTATTTAAGACGGAAAGTGTGTCATTTATCAAGTATATAATACATTCTTATTTACACCCATAATCCTTAACTCCGATGTCAATGAATGTGTGCACATACACACACACAAAGAAAGCAGACCATAAAGTGGCAAATACTAGCTCACCCCCTCTTGATAGCTAGTCATTTTAAGGGCAGTGATGAGTTTTCCATACGTTGACCTCATACTAGGTTTTCATCTGGGGGTATGGAAGGGGTATCGACCATTGGTATCGACCTCATACACGGTCCCTAAAGATGTTCAATAAAACTTTGAGCATAACCCTAGAGGAAAAGTCATGTCCCAAAGTGATCGTACATGATTAGAAGGGATTGTCAAGGTCCACGAGCTTTAAGTCGAATAGTGGTTGAATGTGAAGTGGAGGGCTACCTGCAAGACACTCTGATGCCAAAGTAAGGTTTAGAGTAAGTGCAAGTAAAGCGTTAGAGTATGGGTGAATGAATGAATACATGACCCTCTCAAGTGAGAGGATATTTATAGCCCCCAGCGGTGGGCCAAGGTATTTTGTGATGGGCCACGATGAGGCCCAATAACAAAGATTGTCAGGTCAACTGCCCCTCCCTAATCAACTGCCCCTAGCATGTTGCCTCCTCCCTGGTCAACTGCCCCGAGAAAGCTGAGAAGTTGGACCAGTTATTCTTGGAGGGCATGATGATGGCGCTATAGACACATGAGTCATGTTCTCCTAGTGGACATGTGGATAAATGCCTAACGGTCCTCAGTTTGTGTTACACGTTTTTGGGCCTCTGTAAAGGTGCTGGATTGGGCCTCCTCAATGGTGGGGCAAGTGTCGGCCTAGTCTAGAACAAGAACCCCCAAGTTATTTCCCTTAGGTGAAAGAGCGATGACTTAAGATCAATTCAAGTGTCGGGGAAGTGTTGCCCGAGATGGGAAACTGTCAACTCTTGTCGGGGACGGCTCTGTGACTCATGTCGAGGATTCAAAAATTCGCGTGTGGTGAGGTTGACCAGCCCATGGAGAATTTCATTGGTCGACTTCGTTTTCTGCTCGTATCAACGCGGTGCCCATTAGGGACCTAGATTCGCGGGAAGGCGAGGAGTTTCCTCAAGTGTGCGTCTTTGATGTGCCCGTATGTAAGGCATTGTAATGATATAGAGTATTTGCCCGCCATCGAGAGTGGAATGGCATAGGTGTGTGGTTTTGTGTGAACTGTTGTGGGCGACGTGTCCTCTCATGGACCCCACGTGGCAGCTGTTTAGGGTGCCATCATTACATTGGACAATCTAAGAGCCCAAGTAATGATGACTTTTTGCATGCTACCTCGTGAGGTGGGAGCTATCTATAAAAGGAGAACCAGGAGGTTCATTTGTCATTTTCAAGCTTTTTCTTCTCCTCTCTCTTATGTTCGCCCATGGATTTATTGCTCCAACGCCACTGTAGAGATCTTCAACGATAATATTCTTTGAGTAAGTGATTTCATGTTGATTGTGTTTTTTCTTAGATTTTTTAGATTAAACACTTGGGTTTTGTCATGAACAGATGAATCTCTGGATGAAGATTCATGGGTTCTGAAATGAATCTCCAAGAATGTTCATCAAATTTAATGGATATGGGTGAAGATTCATAAGTCAAGAATTTCGTTCTGACTCGCGTTAGGGTCGTCCCCCCTCCAAATAATGGGGAGAATTTGGATAACTTGCACGTTCAATGAAATGTCCCCGCATAGGGCGTCGACCATTTTAGTGTTGGTTGTCGAGGGCTTGGGTCGAGGCCTATACCTCGACGCATCCATCGCTCTTTCACTTGATTTGCGGTGGAAGGGTGAATTTGTTGAGTTCAAATTCTCTACTTTCCCCTGCTTTTCAGGTAGGATAGCACACCAATTCGAGGAAGACATCGTGCCTGATACCAACGAGGGTGACATTATGGTCGCGGATGATCATTTGGCTTGGGTCGTGCTCGAGCCTCGGAGTAAAAGGTCGTGTTTTTCGCAGGACGCTTCTGACGTGTTCAATGTCCCCGAGGACTGAGTAGAGGGTGCCCATGCCAAATGGGTGCTTCAAATCCCTCATCGAAGTCGAAGAATATCCTTAGTATTCCTGAGATAACACTTCTCTATGTATGAGTTTACTTTTAAAGAAGCGGGGATGCGTTTGCCCATCAACGATTTCCAAGTGGTGGTCTTCCAATGGTTGCAACTGACATCTTTCCAGCTTCATCCAAATGCCCTCGCGTTTATGCGAGCGTTCGAGATAGTATGTCAATATCTCCAAATTGGTGCCACTTTGACCCTCTTCTTTCGTATCTTTCACCTACAACGGTAGACCATTGGAGGGCGACAAGTATGTGTTTTGCTCAAATAGTTCGGAAAACTCTTTCGGTCGTACCTTGAATTTGTGTGCAACTTCAAAGAGAGGTATTTCATCGTGAAACCTCTTACTGATGTGGCCATGGCTTCTTTGTACGATCGCTCGGAAGAGGTTGAGGGAGGTCGGATAGTGGCTCGACTGACTGTGAGGTTCCTTCTTGAATGGCAGTGGAAACACTTTGAGTAGAAGCTCGAGTATTACGCGGTAAAGCCCGAGGACTTAGACATTCGGGATCAACTCTCTTACGACAAGTTGGCATCTTATGTTAAGAGCTTCTCACTGGAGAAGTGTGTGGACATAGACAATAACTTCCTTTTTAACAATCAAGGGGAGCATCTCTTCGTTCCCAGACTGATTAACACAAAAGCGCTCCTTGAGTGCTCCTCTAACAAGGAGGCTTTGAGACTTCTAGGTATAGGACGTGCCCGTAGTTTTATGCTTGTATGTTTGTCTAGTGACTGATAATTTCTTTTTTGTTGCAGATTGGATGGGGACCCTCTCCGAACATTTGCTCAAGTTAAAGCCCAAAAGTGCATCTAACTTGGAGCCTAAAAATCGGGTTGCTCAGCTTCAGGAACAAGCCAAATCTTTTGTTCGTCCAAGTGGTTCATCTTCCCCTTCAGGGACCCAGGCCCCCCCTCCCGAACAACCGGTGAAAAGGAAATGCGTGGAGGATCCCGAGCATGTGGCGCCTTTTGAAGGGGACAAGGGTGTCGGGTGTCATACCCCAAATTTGCTCGCCTTGGTGCTATACTCAAAATTATTTTCAAAATTGGATTTTAAAATTCTTTTGGTTCGTATACTCTAACATTCTTTAGGTTTTATAAATATTCATATCCAAGTCTATTTAAAAATATAAATTATTTGTATTTTTAAATAATAAATATCTACGCACCTTTCATATGATTTGAATTGACTTTTTATTTCAAATGAGTAACATAACACAATTGGTAAGGAATGAACCTTACGAGTATGAGGTCACGAATTCAAATCCCATCATCCAATGTTTTGACTTTTTTTGGTGTTGCTAATTTTAAATGTCATTTTTATGTTATTTAATTCAAAATATATATTTTTTTTAATGTTTATATATTAAATTTCATATTTTCAATTAATAAATTTTAAAAAATATAGTTATTTTTACTTTTTTCATTTTTTATGCTGAAAATAACCAAAAAATCTAAAATACAAAAAGATTTAAAAATATTTTGTTATCTTTTGTATTTTAAGTAGTAATATTTGTTTTAGGAGAGAATCAATGTAATTGGTTACAATAATTATAAATTCAAAAATTTGATTTTTTTTAGGTTTTAATTATTTGGATTGATGATTGATTTTATTCTATTTTTATTAATTTTATTTCAATTTCAAGTTACATTCAAATCTCCCTAAAAATCATGTTTTTTTATTATTTGAATATTATTTTTGTATTTTGAATTAATGTATTTTTAGAAAATAATTATTTATTTGATTTGATACATTTCTATCAAAATTGAGTGTAAAAATTATAATAATTACCAAAAATATTATTAATCGTTTTTT